TGAAAGGGCATTAGCCTGCCCTTTTCAGGAATATCAGAACGAAAAGATTTCCGAATATCAATGCGGTGACTACTGATTACTGATTCTGCATAGTAATGCCTCAATACCGACTAATGTTTTACTACAAATATTTTTTCCAATAAAGATCCTCATTTTCATTTAAAATATGACATAACTTTATATAAAATCAACAATATCTATCGAGCTCATCGACGGGATTGGTATTGGCAACGTATCAGCCAATCTCGCCCCGTAGATGCCATAAGATGTTGCAAAGGGAATAATTCACTGGCGATATTAATAGCAGTAAGCGAGCGTGCAAATCATTACAAGCGATTGACAGATATCCAGTCAAGCTCGACAGCTATTGCAACCGACCTCACACGATTAATTAATTCGGCAACAACTACATATAGTCAGTCACACACAACACTATAGTCCTTGTTGACCCCGCTACAACTTTGGATTATCTATATTGTTTTTTTTTTTGTAAAACATATATTCAAAATCAATGGGATTTTCTATTTAATTTACAAATAAATACTAGGGAAAATTTCACGTCCTTGCAAAATAACCTTCGATCGGTGTTGTATTAGACGAAAAAATAACTAATAAATGTTTGACGGTTTTTATCTCTATTTTAACAGCTGAAGCATTGTAAAGTACAGCTTCCATGACCTCGAGATAGATTAAGATGGTTTATTTCCTTCAGTCATTGTTAATCCGTACTTCCGTCATATCTTGGAAGCGGGCTCGAGTGAATCGCCTTAAATTTGTTCATATTCTAACACCGTTTATTGGCTCGGCTAAAATATTACCGGTGGTAACTTACGAACGTGTTAATTTCTTGTAAAATTTTGACGTTTCATAAGAACGCGCAAGCGTCTTTGTGAATAAAGATATTACTATAATTTTAATTTTATTATTATTATAAACTTGGGGATATTCCTTTGTTTTCTTATTATTATTATTATTAAACATCTTAAGAAACTGTAAGTCATGAAAAATAATTGAAACTTTTCGGCTAAGACTTATTTAAGATTTTGAGCGTCAAAAACCATAAAACAACTCAATTTTAAAATATACAATAATAGTTTACAAATAATAGCATTAGCTCGTTTATTCAATCTTTATGTGGGCTAGCTAGCGGGATATTTAATTTGTGTACTTTATTATGTTATCTCTGATAAAGCACGTTTGTAAACCCAATACAACAGATATATTACAATAGGTGTTTTAACGTTTTTGAGTAACGATGCCAATTTGGGCTGTCAACGAAAAAAAAAACAAGGTTGTATATTGTTATCAACCAGAAACGTCAGCAAAGATCCTATCCATTAATGCAATACTGACAGTTACCAATAGTACTGGACATTGATTAGTTGGCGGTAACGGTTATATGACGGGACCACATTGGTGATCGTGCTGCATTATAATTCATAGCCAAAGTCAGAACGTAATGTAAATTTATTGAACATGCAAATATTCCATTTGATCGTACTTTCCATGGCTGAAAAGTAATACATATATGTATACGTTACATCCTTTTGCCTAATGGCTAAGACCTAGCGTTCCAAAGACATTTTGGAGATTTATTTTTACTGAAAAAATTTAAATTTTGAAATCAATTAAGTACTTCTTAAGCCCTCATAAATACATATTTTACATTTTATTTACAAGATAATTTTTACACTATAACGCACTATATCGTAATGCATTACATAAAGCTAATTAGTAAAACATCGATTTGGTTTCAAATTATTATCGTGTGACTAGCACGAATTGATGAAATTAATAAATAAATCATAAGTGCATAGATAAAACCTGCACCTGATTTATTTATTAATTTCAACAACAACAATAGTATTTGTGACAATGATGTGCGTAACGGCTATAACAAAACGAAAACATTATTTTGGCGGAAACTGCGATGTTCTTAAATGGTAACTATAATGTGGTAAATGGTGGTAAATGCTGCCTACCGAAGCGGGGTTGCATCGATAGGAATACTTAGTCATCGTGCATAATAAAGATTTGTAACTCTGATAATAGAAACGAATACTATAGGAAATATAAATCTGGGCCAAATAGTCACATATTAATAAATCAGCGTAAGAGCAGCCACGACTCCCAGTTTTATCATATGCTTCACCTACAGCACCTTCCATTAACATCCATATGGATTATGGATTGTAATAACAAAACATTATTAGATTAAAACAGTCACATATCGTACCGCTCTGAGTTCAAAAGTTAAGGTATCCTGCGGCCGCCGCAAAGGAAACAATAAAAACAAACGGACAACATATTACCTGTACATTTTAAACAAAACGATGAAATTTATGACCGCGCCACAAACGCGAAGTGTACCTTTGTACAATAGTAAACACAAGGCACGAGTTTGCGCTTATTGTGCGTAGTTTTGCATTGCAGAATCAAAAGTTGTTGTTGCATGTTTTCAATTTTTGTTACAATTTGTTTTTATGTTCAATATTTATACAAGAACAAAGCTCAAGTAAATTTCACTCACATGAGCTTTCTTTCGATAACATCATCTTAAATATTTCATCATCAGCCTGTTCTAGTCCACTGTTGGGCTGGACATAGGCCTCCATCACAGACTTAGGATTTTGTCGATATACATACAATATAATAAAATAAAAGTCACCAACTTGTGACGGTAAATAAACAAACGAAAAACCCATACTTGAAACAGCTACAGGGTATTTAGAGATTGCAACATTTATAATTAATAAACTAGTCAGTCGCTATGTGTCATCGTCAGTTGATATATAAATACTATACTTAATATGAAATAGTTGAAAAGTAAGGAACAAAACGGATATTAACTTTACTATGGTAGAGCTACTGCTACGAGCGTGTAGAAAATGAATGGGCGGGCGCCTCCGGGGAAGTAACATGGATTCACCGAAGAACGGCGTTAATTAGAAATGTTTATACTTTTGTTGCGTGAGATAACTAGGAAAGATTTTCTTAAAGATTGGCTGGCACGCAAACGCAAATTCGAAAGTTCAAAGTTATTTGAATGAGTGAACCATATGCCCATTTACCGCCTTTATTCATAAAATAATAACGCATATCAATAATTTCGATTAGATATAAACGCAAGTATGTTCGCAATAAACATAGAACGCCGTACTATAAAACAAAACTCGGTAACTAACGAAGTTACGATTCCGACATTTCACAAAAGCGTCAAAGGAGAAATCGATACATGGTGCAAAAGCGTGTATCGAATTGTCACGAATTCGGACCCGCACAAAAAGGCTGGCACCCGGCGAATTGCGTTTGCCTCCAATTAATCGAACGTACTGAAGAGGGAAGCAGCATTAGTCGAATCGTTTTGTAGCCAGGCGGCCTAACGAGTTGTCCAATCAACTTTTTCGCGAACGATAAACGAGACTAGCATTGACGCGGAATGTCGTTTTAATAAAGAGAAGCGATGAGTTTTAAAAAGTCCTATAATCCATAGGTTAAATAAGCTAATGGCCCTGTATTCTGAAGTAATAATATTATAATATGAGGGAAATTTAACTGACAACTGAACAAACTCTTCAAATTTAGCGGTTTAATTTTTAATTGAAACTTTATATAAAAAGCTTAGCCTCTAATTATTATTATGGTGGGGATATTTATTTATTTTGTTTTTTTAAATTGTTTTTATTATTATTACTATCTATATTTTAACTACTAATCTAGCATTATTCTAGAATTATACCATTTAAGTTATTTTCTCTGTTGAATACTATTGTACTCAATCTTCTGTCTTACTGTTCTCGCTGTCTAATCCCCAGCTCCAGTCCAAGTTTCATTTACTTTATTCGTTGAGCAGTAAGCTTTTCTATCCGCAAAGCTTACGTCGTGTCACTTCGCTGCTTATTTATATATTTTCCTTTATTATGTTGTCGGGTTAAGTGCTTCGCCAGTCGCCGGCTTAAGTGGTTGCTACATAACTATACAACTCTATACGTTATAATACAGACTGCTAAGCGTTTATGTTTCTGTTCACTTTTTATTTTTAATCGGCATCCTTTATTTTAATTCAGTATTCCCCCTATTTCGATCTATAATAGCATTTTTGTTGGTTTTATCTCCCGTGGATTTTATTAATTACAACAGTATATCCAAAAAAAAATTAAAAGTGAAATATCATTTATTATTAAAAATCCTCCGAATGGTTACGTTACAACATGCAATCTGGGAAAGGCTTTTGTATAAAATTGAATAAATTCCAGTGCGGAATTTTGTTCACGTGATTTACACGAGCGGTGTTTAAAATAGCAAGCATTTTAAACTCTTCACATGCCGCCTGCTGTTATTTTAAAGTGTTACATTATGCGCACGTTTGCATTTTGTTACAACAGAATCTCCCCTTCAACAATGGATTATTTAAACACGTTTCTCTGCAGTTAAAACCTTTTATTAAAAAAGTTTTGACTTTGTTTACCGTGAACAATGTGTTTTAGGTATAATATATTGCACAGCGAATTTGTCTATTTTGCATTGTTAAACGAATTATACAGATATACATTTAAAATACGCCGAACACGTTTGTACAATACCACATTCGCTTTGAATTTTCTCCAATGGCTTATAGTTGGGATATGAGCACGTTTGGTATTTTACTGAGCAACCTTTGAGCGCATAAACAGTTGTTGTATTCCATGTTGTTTGCCTGCACTTGACTTTTTGAATGTGACTTTGTAGCTAGGGAATTGCAAGGGGCGCTACAGGTTGGGCGGTACGCCACAGGTTGCCCCTGCAAGTTATTAACTAAACGGTGCCGGAGTAACTCCTGCAATGCCGGCTTACGCCCCGCCCCACACCCTTATTGAAGCAGGAATCTGCGCTGTTTATACGGGAACTCTTAATCATTTAAAATGTTTACATTTTTCATCACCAACTTTGTTTTACGTGTTGTGCGTAACTGTTTCAATTGATTATGAAGTATTCGTATCGTGTTTTAGTTAACATAACTAATGGAGGTTTACTTTGCAGGGTATACCGAGGAGCAGCCTTCCACCCAGTTTACGGCTCAACTACCGAGCGAGGTGAGCCCAACCTCCGGCCCCGGCCGCGCCCCTCAGCCGGCGCCTCAGCCTGTCTCTTATGCCCTTCTGCACCTATCCGCCTCTGATTCGACTGAACCGTCTTTCCTCCAAGTGCAATTCCAATCTTCGCCTGTCTCCCCCCCTCCGCCACCGGCGAGCGGCAAATCCCTGTCAATGTGCTATACCAGTACGGGCGCGATTCTGTCTTTACCACCGAAAAAAAAAGACATCTATCGCCCGTACTGCCTCGGAGATCATGCGTTCCTCCACCGCGCCGAAGAAGACCTCAACGCGGCCCACGCCATACTCGACTTGAGCCAGCACGCAGTGTTCCTATCGACGCAACACGCCGAGCCCGCGGCCCCTGCAGCCCCCGCAACGCCAGCGCCCCCCGCGGTCCCCGCGCCCCCCGCGGTCCCCACGCCCCCTGTGGCCCCCGCGCCCCCAGAGCCCACGCCGCCGCCACCCGATCCCCCTGTCCCGGAGCAGCCTCCCGACCGACCGAGAGAGACCGTTGCCTACACTTACGACGCCTTCTTCGTAAGCGACGGCCGCTCGAAGCGTCGCAACTTCGCCAACGCACCGGTCGAGTGCGCTCAACAGCCCGAACAGAAGTCGAAGTACACGTGCAACGAGTGCGGCAAGCGCTACGCGACCTCATCGAACCTGTCACGGCACAAACAGACGCACCGTAGTCTCGATTCGGTCGCGGCTAAGCGCTGCGGCGAGTGTGGCAAGGCGTACGTGTCGATGCCGGCGCTCGCCATGCACGTGCTCACCCATCAACTTTCGCACGTGTGCGGGGTTTGTGGCAAGCTGTTCTCGCGGCCGTGGCTGCTGCAGGGGCATTTGCGATCGCACACTGGCGAGAAGCCGTACGGCTGCGCTCACTGCGGCAAAGCGTTTGCGGACCGCTCCAATCTGCGCGCACACATGCAGACGCACTCGTCCGACAAGAACTTCGAGTGCGTCCGCTGCCACAAGACGTTCGCTCTCAAGAGCTACCTCAACAAACACCAAGAGTCTGCGTGCGTGCGGGACGACGACTCGCCGCCACCCGAGCCGTCCGCCACCGCCTCCGAGTAGCCGCGTTGCGAGGCGACGCAACTTGGGACCGTAATCTCCGCCGTATAATTTACATCATATTAACGTAAAGTATTATAATATGAATTTAGCTTGTTAGCGGTAATGTTAAATTTACAATAAGAAGGGCCTCGTTACCGGCGCGCGAACTGCGACCTGGCACACAGCCCGCGCCGGCGCGTGGCCCGCAATCGAGCAACGTTTCGCAAACAACGAATCACGTACTAGCCCCGTAGCGCCGACTGCAGCGGCGATAGGCCGTAGCGACAGACGTCCGGATTATGATATTTAATTATGTATATACTCGTCAATAAAATATACCCTTATATACTTAGAAGTAATAAATACGAATGAAACTAATATCTTTTGTAGGTGACTTTTACAACCGCAATGTAGGTTAGAGAGTATAACGGTGTAAGTTAAGCGTCGAGATGCTAGAGCCGAGCGCCGAGACCGTCGGTGAATGGGGTCGGAGCGCTCGGGCGCGCCGCGTCGTCTGTCTCGGTGAGGAACTTGCCAAAAATTTCCGTCCGAAGCTCCGCAGCGCCGAGGGCGACACCACCGCGCCACTACGTGCCGCAATCGCACCGCAGCCGTGACGCATTCGTGACGCAATTCGTGCACGTGTTGCGTTCGCGCCCACACGGTGACGTCGTCGCACAGACGCGCCGCAGCGCCCGTCTCCGGCCGTCCCGCCTAGAGACGTTCCGATGGTATTAATAAACACACTCACACCACTCCTTCCATTTAAGCTCCAAATGAAAGTAATGTAGCAACAAAAACCATTAATGTCTTCTTCCGTTATAACTTTTCGTTTATTTCTAAATGAATTAATTAGTCATTTGTCATTTATGTCTCGACTGTAATAAAATACATTTTAAAACTGTACAGAGTCATTTATAAATAATGTGTTAATCATGATCATTAAGCATTAAGATACAATATCGCAACGTCTCTAGGCTCGCGACAGTGCCTTAGCGGCGAACAGTTGCGCGCCCGTCTCGCCCTACACCGCCCTACGCCGCCGTGTAATTTTACCCGACCCCTTCAATCAAACCAACCTTATGAATAACTCACCAACGTCAGTGTTAGCACGCAACGTTGAAAAGGCCAGCACGAAAAGATTCACTGCAGTTACAAAGAGAGTCACGAACCGATGCATAATAAATAACCCTACATTACAAAGCTACTCGACAACCTTTGATTATGTCAAATACCTGTATATGTGTTAAATGTCATCATTAACGTTTCAATGACAATCGTTATAATTACCGTGAAAAATATTTTTATTCGAAATTTACGATTTTCGGTCAGTGTAAACGCAAAAATAGATATATTATAAACACGGCGTATGTACAGCGGCGTTTAGGACGGGTCGCGGAACGGGTATCACTCGGTGAGCATGCCTTTAGTTTGAGCTAGTATTTAGTCAAACGTAACTGGCAATAAAATAATATAGTTTAAGCTAGATATAGTTCTAGGTTAATGGAGATGAGCACGAGGTGCTCGTAAGAAATGGGTATTCGAAAAGCAATAATAAAGTAGATACTATTCAAGTCGCGCACCGCTGTCGAATAGACGCTGCAGACTTTATCCTAACTATCCCGTAGCTCTATAGTATAGTAGACCCCAAGGTACATCGCCCCTGTTACACAACTTTCAAGTCCCGAACGTACACTAACGATTACAATTAAAAATAGGTGTGTAGCTGGTTTCAGTTCTGCGAGTTTTCACCTCCGCTGCCGGTGCTACCGTTAATTATGTATTACCACGCCGTCAATTCTTTAGAGAACTTAATTTTAATCATGTCAATTATATGTCTAGATCCCATTTTGTCAAATTAATAGTTCCTGTGCCTACTCGTATGTTTATGTATTTTTTAAAATAAATAACCTTATACAAGTGAATTCAAAATTCGTTACACTTTCAATCGGTTAGTTTTTATTCTATATTGAATATAAAAACAATAAATCTTTGATAATTAGATAATTAATGCCCTCAAATATTGCTATCCAAATACCCAATCTAAACGGTAGCCTTGCAACGCGCATATTATTTTTCCTAGAGAATTTATTCCCTAATCAGGTAATCTTACGTGACGTAGCCGTAGTGCCACATATACTATTATAGAAATAGATAACCTTACATTATAGTCACATTTAAACAATTTAGGTATACCAGACAATGTTTGCGCGTAAAAAGCAATATTAAGTAAATTATAAGCAATACTATGGTAGAATTTAAGTAGGTTATATTTATTTTGATTCTAAAATTTGGTAGTTTTTAGACGTTTTGGTGCTTCGGAGTAATATTGAAATTTTTGTGAAACGAATATAACATCGAAATTATTGTAAAATTCATTACATTGTGATATTGTTTTCTAAATTATATTATTATCTGTTAACATACCTGTTGCGATTTTCTTCAATTAAATATAAATTAATTCTTCACGCGTTTCTTACATTTGAAACACTATTGTGTAGAAACTAGTCATTCTATACTTTACTCCTACGCGTATTCCCTGCGAGTCTATTCTTAATGGCATCTTCACTAGCTGTCTTTATTTATCTTCGGTAGACAATTAAAAAAAAATTGCTTTGAAGATAAACTAAGACAAGATATTTTTTTCAAATATTTATACTAACGTTATTATAATTGTATTAATGACACAGTTCGAAAGTGACGATTAGTATTAAAAACAACTTATATACAAAATTATATACCTACTTTTAAATGTAAATATTTCCCATGTACCAAGTTCCCTTCTTTACAATTTTGTAGTCGTAGCTATATATAATAAATAATAATTAATTAATAGTAAAATCACCCTAGCGTTAGATAAAAATATCATTCATTAATCAAATCTCCAACCGCTACGCAATAAAAGAAATGTGTTTTGTAGTTTTAGTCCCACAAATTTTAATAGCGCGATTTCGAAATGCCAAAGCGATATAATGTTACTATTTGGGGTGACAAATGGAAGCATGCATTAAGTCTGAAGTGTACTTGATTGAACCCAACATTTCCATAGAATATGTCTACGAATATAATTTAAATGTTGTATATCTTTCGGTGGCATTGATGTGACATGCATTGTACGAACAACATTTTTTTTTCAAACACGATCTTCTTCCAATTCATTTTGCAAACGCAAGGCACAAATAAACTCTGTATGTCTGTATGATAATGAACAAAAGATTGCATCGCTATTATTATAATCGTCTTTCACTACGATACGTTGCCTATAACGCCGGAAAGCATTTTTACGAGGACCAAAACCTTTTTTTAAAGAAAATTCAAAATTTGTACCAATTGCAGCCATCATCGCCCCTATGAGCCATAGGTAAGAATAAAATAAAAATGTGTAATATTATTTGATGTAAGTCCACCATTATAAAATTAAAGCAATTTTGGTGATACAAATATTGAAAGTAAATTGTCCAAGATAGAAATAAATAAGCAATAATAGATTACAGTAGATATAAAATGTTAAATAGTAATATGAGCGTTTAGCAATAATTGAATTGTAATGATATATCCGAGCAATATTGATCTTTAGGTAACTTGTATAAATAGTACGTGTGGTCATATATAGTAGTAATACTATCCAAGTGGCTAATGAGTAGACTGCAATCGAGTGATATTATATTTGATGGTAATTAACGTTTTAATTCGTGCTACAATCGATTAATATGTCGCTCTATTCTTCGTAATAAAATAATCCTTACTTCACAAAACTCACAAGAATCCATAATTAAACACATTAAGTTTGCCAAGATTCTATTCATATAGATTTTTAAAATATTACAACGGTATATACCTACTGATTTTAGTTACTATTGTTACTAAATGAAATGTTGATATTGCGTTTCTTTTTTCATAAAGTGCAATTGCATAACTTTGTGTTGATTGCCATATATTCGGGTTACTTTACAAGGAGAGGTCTAAAAGTTCGCGTAAGTAACGGATAGGTGAATTCAATGATATTATTATATTATGTACTTCTTAGGTGGTTAAAATAAATGATTGAAACCATAACTCTAGAAATAGACTGAATTTGACGACGATGCATCTAGCCGCCATAATCAGTTTTTTTCTTCCAAGGTCTTTTTACATTATATTGTGAAAAAAAATGCAGGGGACCAAACCTACATTTACCATTACATGCACACCCTATGGAGTGATCACAGATAAATTTCTGAGCAAAATTTACATTATGGCTTCTTGTAACTTATATTATAATGTTTCTCTGATATTGCTCCAGCTTATGTTTATATTATAATCAATGAATAAAATCACCGCTGAATCAATAAAAATTACAGCCATAACCGAACCGTTTGGATTACTTCGTACTTCTTACACAGGAATCTCAATTCCATTATCTATATTTATAGTATGTTTTTAAGTTTGTTACTTTTAAACACCGTCATTTATAAACCAATTTGAAAATTTATTTTTCCATTGGGCTCGGTTTAACTCCTATGTGGTCCCAAATTCGGTAAACATAAGTCGACTACACAATTTAAAAAATACAAATTGCTGTTACGTCCGGAGCGAGTAGAACATTCTCCATACCCAAATTAGAGACGCCAAGACGTTCATGACAGTGTTTAAATGCTCTATTCCTCTAGCATCTTGTACAAAAATATTTTCAACAGTCGAAAAAATGGACAAGCAAGGTGCTTTAATTGGAAATTTATCTGAAGGAAAACCTACGTTGATAAAATTGTAACCCCTGTAAATCATTATTTTCAACACACAAGTAACTGATGATATCCCTTCCGTCATAATATCTATGTGATTTCCAATTTCTTTATCGTTGGTGTTTTTTCTAATTGATTAGTTGACTCAGTGACTCATACGTCAATAAAACTCGACGAGTGAAAGTTTTTGTTTGCAGTTGTTTGTAAGGAGCTAACAAATTGGCACAATTGACACATGGCAGGTAAAAATCCTATATCACTCTTCATTGCGCAAACTTTTAGACCCACCTCTATATGTTGTTATATCTTACATATAAAAATGGATTGCTGTTCCTTAATCTCGCTAAAACTCGAGAACGGCTGCACCGATTTGGCTAATTTTGGTTTTGATATATTCGTGGCAGGCCAGAGAATGTTTAAACGATGAGAAATTATGGAAAAATTGCATGGAAAATCGAAACAGCAACAATTTTATTTTCCCATACAAACTGTACCTGTTAACCTGTCAAAACATTTTTGAACAACGATTTGCAAAACAACGTTTGTGTATCAATTAAAATTTAAATAATTCCATAAAATATTCGATACTGAAGATTTGGTGTAATCATTAATAGTTGTGAGATATGAGATATGTATATGGAAAAAAAATATTTATTTAATTTACGAATATAACATGTGATACAAAATTTTAAAGCAATAAAAATTTAAGCAATATAAACGAATAACAAACAACGAATAAATTTTTTTGGCTATTGAGATGAATCTAATAATTTAAAGTATGAGCTTTTTTATCAATGAATTATTGTAAGCGTAATATATTTTAGATTTAACTGAGTGTCTGATATATCTAAGAAGAAACTGATTCTACGGTATCGTTAACAATATTTAGGAAAGTTTCCATTATTTTCCGTTGTATAATTATATATTTCTTAACTAAACGCAATATAAATATCAACTATCACTCAGTTCGCTTATAAAAGAAACTACATCGAAAAAATAGATGATACACATTTT